CAGTTGTCTTCAATGGTTTGTCGTGTTCGCTTCTTTGCCTATTGAGGCCTTGTCATGCAGGGTGAGCAGCATGATCTGACGCATTTGCTCCTCAGAGATTGGTTCGAAGGGTCGTCATGGTCCTGCTAAGAAACAATCAGATAGGCAGCCTGTAATTCAGGTTGACGACTGTTTCCATGCTACAAGTCCTGGCCTCCCATTGCGAAAGATCCTCTCTGCGTGTGATGTTCAAACTGGTTTAGGCGTGGCTGTGATTGTTCCCTCAAAACGAGAGAATGACTACACAGTAGCAGAATTGAAGAAGTTCATCCACGAGCGAGGTAGAATCTTTGGCATGCTGCAGTATGACCAAGAGTCACCATCGAAGAACCGTTGAACCTGTGTCAACAAGTCAGCGCTGCACTAGGTGGATTGAGTATTCGTGCCGCCCGAAAAAGCTCATCCTCACTCGAGTGGCTCTGTAGGCTGCTTCAACGAACATTGTGCAGACAAGTTCGAGCGCTCCTTTCGCAGATTGAAGAAAGCCTGAAAGCTCAGATCTCGTCTGACCGTGCTCTGGCATTGATTGAAACATGCTCAAAGGCTATTGAATAGGTTCTTGTGCATTCTGACGGCTGTGCATCGTACTTCCGTAGGTGGCATAGGAAACTACGAAGGCGGATTGCGTCAGTTTGCTGAAGTTGTTCACGCTAAGGCAATTGGCAGAGCTCCTGGCAGAAACAAGCAGACATTTTTTGGAAGTCGTGTTAAGGCTACGCGAGCTCTTCCTTGGAAACCAAAGATTGATGAGGAACAGACAACACAGTTTGTTTTGCCCAAGGCCCTCACTGTCACCGGTAGGGTCAGGCCCCCTCCAGGATTGACACAGACTGAAACACTTGATCAGCAACAACAGACAGCTCAACAGCCGCAACCCATCGAACTTGAAGATTTGCCTGAAACTGGAGCCGAAACGTCGATTGTTGAGCCCCCTTAGGCTCTCTGAAGCAATTGATGACAGAGCCAGGAGCCAGGAAGTCTCAGAGCCAAGCCCAAAGTCTCAGCGCATTGCTGCGGCGCTGCAGTACATTGTCATTCAAGTTGGCGCTGGTAAAGCTGTCACTAAAGAGGGTGTTGAAGTTCCAGTTGAGGTGAACTTTGATAGTGTTGAAGAGTACCGCGAAGATTTGAAGCTCAGTGAGCCCATCATCTGGGGCACAAAAGAGTACCCTGAATTGGCACAAAAGAAAAGCATGCATCAGCAAATGAACTCCATGAAGGAATTCTCCGTTTACACCGAAGTTCCAATTGAACAGCGCACCGAAGTGCAGAAACGAGATGCCTTTGGTGTTCGTTTGGTGAAACGTTGGAAAATGGACATGGGCCTTAGCGTGAGATTGGTCGTCCAAAGGCTGTTACCAAGATGCGGCAAAGCTTGATGTTGACTCATTGGTCGCTAGCACACCGTCGCTGGCGACTGTGAGACTTCTGCTTGTCATGGCACTGGCATGCAATTGGTGTAACTGGCGCAGGTGAGGAGGTCTTCGTGATTCCTCCTAAAGAGCATAGTCCAACCCAGAATTGCTTTTGGAGATTGAACAGAGCTATGTACGGCCTCAAGCAGAGTCCGCGATTCTGGCAAGAACATTTTGCTAAGGTAATGCTGAACTTTACCTCTACAAGATGAACACCACCTCGAACCTTGTGAACACAACAGGCACAACGTCCTTGAAGCGATTGCATGATTCTGACACTCCACTTGACAAAGAAGAACATCAAAACAAAACTAGAAAATCTGTAGTCCACATACCTCGAACTCAGGCCACCGTAGCATTGTCCTCTGGTGAGACTGAATTGTATGCTATTGGTCAAGGCATTAACGAAGCTCTGTACGTAAGATCTATTGAATTTATTGTTCTTGAAGCGGAGTTTGCGCGGAAGGTGCGCATTGCTGTCTACACTGATAGCACCGCTCGAAAGCCCATTGTGTGTCGGTTCGGTACTGGTAAGCGAACCAAGCATGTGAAATTGCGTTACCTGCGCACGCAGAACCTGCCTGCTACAGGTATGCTCAGATGCTTAAGATCGGCATTAAAGACAAATGCGCGGACCTTCTTACGAAGTATGTGTCGTCTGAGACTTGTGGCACATCTCGGACTGATTCAGAGCAACTTCCGACGGTGGCTGAGGACTGTCGATGTGTTCAGCAACCTTGAAACAGAACATTGTTTCATTGACCTTTCGTACCATGTTTCATTTGGTTTCGTTTGAGGGACCGCAGTGCATGATTGCATATTGCATGTAATTACACTTGTTATTCTTGTGCAGTTGTCATTCTTGTCATGTCAGTTATTTCGTTCCGTATCTGCTTCGCAGATGCCTGGCCATTGGAAGCAAACGAATTGGAAACCACAGCTTTATGACTCTGTCCACTGATCGCTTAGGGATTGAAGGAAACCTATTGAACGCAGATAATATGGTGACTTTCCATTGATTTCCTGAAAGAGATTCTCTCCAAAGGTTTCCTGGTTGCAGCACGATTGCAGAATGTGTGATCTTGTGATTGCGCTGACTGATTGTCTTGCCCTGCTCTCTTTGCTGATTGCGCTCGCAGGGCAAGCACTGCTTTGCGCAAACGCGACAGATTGCACCCGCACGGACCCGACCCGTCGGCGCAATTGCAGGTGCGCAACATGGCCATTGGGTCATTGTGCGCCATCGTGATGAAAGCGAATTGACCAGTCATTTTCCACCGTGCACCCTGGAGACATTGGCACTACGGCATTGGCCAACACGCTGAAGGAGCTGGGTTGGGGCATTGAACGCCTCACGTTGGCCATTGCACGTGGGGCTCCCATATCTGCCTCTGGACCCATTGCGCCTTCTCACTTTTCGCTTTGCGCTTGGGCCACTTCCGTCGGGAACAGTCCATTGGAGTTCACAGTACAGATCAAGAACCTTGTGGAGCGACTCCAACTGATGCGACGATTGACTTCTCGGATTGCATTGGCAACTACTGTGGATTGCCGCATATCTCCTGGATACACGCATTGCGAAGATGCCGAATCTGAGTGAAGGATGGGTTGGCAGCCATCTGGCGCGTAGTGTGTTTGCCGTTCTCTTTGCGAGATGATTTTCCAGGGAGGTTGATGACGATTTTGACTTTGAGCTGCCGACGCAGCAAGTCAATTGCGCGTTCTGCATTGAAACGGCAATGCAGAAGTTGGTGCATTGGGTGCGCCATGATTGGCTGTCGTCGCGCCTCACAGAGCAAGCCGCATTGCTGTTCTTTCGCCTAACCGTGGCAGCATTGCGTCCTGTGCCAAAGGATGCTGTGACATTGCGTGGCGTTTGCAGCAATTGGCACAACCAGTCCTACATTGGTTCAACAACCGTGAGCACATCGGTGTGAGTACATTTGTGGCACCGATGACTATGCTTGTTTCCATGGCATGTGCAAAGTTGGAGACAACCTCATTGAGATCGACGAGTCTGAGGCATGCGTTGCCGCCGACCGGCCTCAAGGCATTGCATCCGAGACGCAAGCCGTTGGTGTTGCCGCCAGCTGCCACCGGGATTGGACGCCACCGTCAGCTGGTGATTGGCCCGGAGCAGCCGAAAAGTTTTGACTGGCCCTGGAATGTGGTTTGGATCGGTATTGTGACTACTTTATGCTTTTCTTACGATTGGTAATTATTATTTCGACTCAGTGTGTGTGTGTGTGTGATTGCTTTCTACTTTTGGTCCTGCAATTGAACAGCCATTGCTTGGATGAGACACTGTTTCTCAGGATTGCTTCGTGCAATGGATTGATTCACCTGATTGTCTGCAGAAGCATTCGAGTGCCGAACAAGTGCTAAAACCAGGCATTGCCAGCAGCGCGGTGGAATGGGACATCACCAAGGGAATTGCGATTTCAATTGCTTTCCCTCTTTGGCAGCCTTGCATTGCGAGCATTCCGAGTGAAAATGGATTGAGTCCTTCAGTGAGAGCCTGCATTGCACGGTCTGATTACATAGTCGATTGCGAGTTCGATTGATTTTTATACTTCGTTCGAAAACTCGATTGTGTTTTGTCGTTTGGATCAGTTGGTTTCAGATCTACAGAGTGTGGCACAAGGGACCGTGTTAGAAGAATTTATCAGTTCTGCATTGCATCAGCACAGTGATGCATGAGGCATTGCTCCGACATTTCTTGGCTCAAGTGCGAAACATTGCTGAGCGAGTAAATGCAACAGCAGATCTGCGCTGGATTGATTGCTTGTGTTGATTGAGATCACGATATTGAGCTGACAATTGTGTCGTCTGAAGACTTCAGTACGGGGTAGGGGGTAGGGGTAGGGGTCAAGGGTAGGGGATAGGATCAGGATTTAGGACTCAGGAAGCCACAAAAACAAATGACGACCCTGTTTTGTGTTCCGTCTCTGGGGCGGGAGCACGTTCTCCCACCAAAAGCAGGACCGCGCCGAGGCAAAAACGTGCGCCCGCAAAAAAGCGCAGCACGCCTAGGCAGAAGCGTGATTTTCAGGCGGAATCTTGACAGCGGTTATTTATGACTACCAGTTTTCGGCATGAAGGATCAAAACAATCGAGTTCACGTGCCGAGATGAGCAGAAACCATGGAAGGGTCGCCATTTCCGGCAATTCAAGCACCCATCATTTGTAACTACATGGCCGGTTCTAAGACAGCTTATCTAGTTTGTCAAGAAATTCTTAACCAGCCTAAAAAAAGCCTAGGGAGTCACAAATGCCGGGAGTGCCTTATGATAGTCAAATACTGCTATATTCCTATCTATTACATTGCAATGTCTTCTTACAGAGACATATTCGAGCTTCCACATACTCGATTCCGAAATTCGCCCGCAGTGGCCGCCCCTAACAAGCGCTCGAATCTGAAGTGATACACCGAAACACCGAAACCCCGAAACCCCGAAACCCGAAACCCCGATCCACTCCAAGCCCCCCAAAACCTCGACGAGCTCTAAAACTTCTGTCGGATCCCTGAGTGCCTGCTCTTCCAGATCAACGCGTGTGGAAACCACGTGTGTGGAGACCTCAGGGAAGGAGGGTTGGTGTTGTGGTTTAGGATTTCGGCATCGGAGGTTCATGCACCTTGAGGGGAAACCGGGTGACTAGTGGCTTTGAGACTGCACAATCCGTGGCCACTATCTGCTGTCCCTGGCACCTCGGTCGCGAAGATATCGCAAATCTCTTGGGCCACCCGGTCGGGGTCCTGCATTCCCACATCCTCGATGCGGACCAGATCGGTCCGCAGCACCACGTCGTTCTGAGCCCTCCCTACTTCATCCGCCGGCTGTGGGGGGTAGGTTTCACAGAGCCGAATTGGAATAATACGCAGATGCTTCTGGTACGCGTACTGCAGCTCAACGTACGTTTCGTACTGCGCTCCTGTTTTTGCGCCGTAGTCCTCTGTGCAAAAAGCCAGCAACGCCTTGGCACGATAAAGGCCCAGAACAGTTTGATCCCCGAAAGTGCCGCCAGCTCCTCCAGCATCGACCATGTAGGTGGGCACCCCTTGGGAATCCAGCAACTCCTTGACCCGCTGCATGTACCTAGGCTTCTCGGATTGCAAGGGTTGGCCCCTCTATCAACCCTCTGAAGAAGATTCATGCATAGGACCCCCTGAAGCCTAGTATGGGAAGGTACAACAATTTCAAGGTCCCACAAGAATTGAGATTTGGGGAATATGAAGGATGTAGGATTAAGGCATAGGGCGAGCCTTTCATCACAGCCTTGACACGCTTTCTGATCCTGATCCATGAACCCCACAAGCGCTTGAAGTATCCCCAGCGCCTAAACCCCAAGCCCTAAGCGCGACCAAGCGCCGCATCTTTTGGCAGCTGTTGAACCGGCCAGACACCAGAAGGTGAACCCTCTGCGACGGTGTGGGTGTGAGGTCCTGCAGAACAACTCCCAAAACTTTTGTGGTCCAGGGTTTGGGGTGCTTAGCAGGGGATCAAAGAACCTTTCTGTTAAGCACAGGGGTGATTAAATAAGGGTCTACTTAGTATACTTAAGGTTATGTGCTCCAATAGGGGTGAAGGGTCCAGGATTCAGGGTTGAGGGCTGAGGCCTAGTAGGGGATCAGGGAATTATATCGGGAAGACAAGAAGAGACTACGCAGGGTGGGGTGCTCATGCCCCAGGAAAAGTTTCTTAGGTTGTAACCTGCACGGCGACAATGGAATAAAGGTTCCTTGGAGACTCAACGAACCCTGAAGATGGATCATATACCCTAAACCCTAAACCTTAAACCCACCCATGCTACTAGAATCCCTATTGAACATAGAGTGTGGTATATGGACCACACACACACCCTAACCCTTGAACATGCGCCACAACTGCCCTAAAGGCACCATTCAGCCCTAAACCCTAAACCCTAAAACCTAAACCCTAGTTTGAATAGTTAGGGGTGTTTAGGGTTTTGGACGTGAAAGGCCTGGTGAAACCGATGACGCAGCTCAAGGGGCACAGGTGCGTGAAGGTAACCCAAGGGTGGGTGTTTTGGGTTTGAGGGTTTGAGGGTTTGAGGGTTTGAGGGTTTGAGGGTTTGAGGGTTTGAGGGTTTGAGGGTTTGAGGGTTTGAGGGTTTGAGGGTTTGAGGGTTTGACGGTTTGAGGGTTTGAGGGTTTGAGGGTTTGAGGGTTTGAGGGTTTGAGGGTTTGAGGGTTTGAGGGTTTGAGGGTTTGAGGGTTTGAGGGTTTGAGGGTTTGAGGGTTTGAGGTTGAGGTTTAGGGTGCGGAGACGACATTTGTGTTTGAAGGAGTTGTGTAAACCTCGTAATATTCTGCCTCAATGGCCAGAGCGGAAGGCCAATCTGTACAAAAGGTAAGCCCCGGGGTTTGAGTTGGGGGTGTTGGTAATAAGACCCTTGGTGGGGTTGGTGGCTTAGGCCTAGGTAACCTGTGCTGGACCCCCTTAATCCTGGGTGGTACCCTTTCAGGGGGTAAAGGGTTTTCGTGTGTTGTGTTGGTCGGTCTGGGGAATATATCTGGGCAACTGTTAGGGCTGATAGTTCCTGTTCCTCCTTCGGTTGCCCCCGTAGGTTATGAGCCCAAATTAGGTTCCCTGCGGTTTTTTGTTCGAAATTATGGGTTGTCGAGCCATTGTTTCTCATGGCCTCGCAGCGACCGCGTTCTGGCGAAGTGCCACTGGAATCCAATGGGACTGGGAATCAAGCTGGTGGTGCTGGGCAAGGCCGGGATGGTGCTGCAAGTTCTGAAAATCCCAATGTGGAGCAGTCAACAACTGTATCTGGTGGAGATCGAGGTGAAGACGTGTCTTGCCCAAGGGCTGGACAAAAAAGGTCGTGGGATGAGATTGGCGGCGTAAATATTCAACTGGAGGCCGCAGTGCTGGAGATTTTGTGAAACAATATAACGTCTGTATCCTCGAGCTCTTCTGGAAAGGTTGTGGTGGGTGAGCAAAGCGCTCAGACTTCTGGAAGAGTTATGGTTGAGCGAGGCGCTCAGACCTTTGAAAGAGACGTAGTTGAGCAAGGTGCTCAGACTGAACTGGGTTTTGCAGCAATGTCTGTCCGGGATCAGTTGCTTACGTCGTTTTCTGAAGTGGCTGGTGGCGGTAGTGTTGCCTCGCAAAATGTGACTCGTCTGGTATGGTACTGGATGGAGAGTCAAGGACTGGGAAGGTGATTTCCCCGAAGAAATTTCAGATCTGGAAGCCGAACGTATCAAAACGGAGCTCAAGAAGGAGGAGCAGTTAGAGGCCTATGATGATCTGACATCTGCTGAGCAGGGGAAAACAATTACAGTGGATGGATTTGAATGGGAGATGCACTTCACTGAAAGAGGTCAGCCATATTATTACTGCCTGGACACCGGACGAACGCAGTGGGAGAGCCCCACAGGTATGACAATTCTGACGACTTGGAAAAAAGAGGCAGCGCAAGTACTGGTGCACTGGTAGACAAAGGGTCTGCAGGACTGGACTATGCACTGGGTAATGTCAAAACTACAACCTCGACTCCAAGTTCTGAGTCAATGGTAGCACGGCAAGGTAGTGTAGATATCGCTATGGATGATAGGCGAATCGCTTTCCCTTTCAGGATAATGGTCTAGAAGGTGAAGGGGATGGAGGAATGGTCGCCCCTAGTACCCTAGAATTGTCCTCTAAAGGTTTAAATGTGTCTGGAGCTCAACATAGCATCGCTGGAGAACACCCATGTCAGGGGGCCGAAGTGGTTGGACTTCCTGGAGGTGACGCAGCGGTGCAATCTGGAGTTCTGGATGGTGGTATTAAGGAAGAATCTGCGACGAATCCTGTATGAATGGAAGCGCGTACTTCATCACAAAGCAAAAATTCTGACGGTGCGGTCGTGAATGGCGCAAAAGATCCTGTCTCGAGGGGAAGTGGGGCAAGCAGTTCCGGGATGCCCACAAGTGGAGGAACTGATCCAGCCGTGGAGAAGCCCAAGGTCTTGCTTGAGGGTGACGAAGTATCTGGGATTCGTGTGGACGCTGACGTTTCGCCTGGTCAAGGCGGTGGTCTGGAGCGCAAAACCAGCCGCGGACTGATGTACCTGGAGCGCCCATGAAGCGCGGGCAGTGGCACCAATTGTTAAAAGCTCCGTTGATAGCCATGGAAATGGTGAGGAGGCTATCACACCAGTTGGTGGTGGTGTTGCACAGGTGGACGCACTAGTGCAACTGGAAACTGGCAAGGAGGAGCGGGGAATCGCCCACTACACCAGGGCCAATGCGGCAGCTGTGATGGAAGGTACCGAGGGTACAACTTCTTCTTTGGTGGCCGCGGAACCAAAGGAGCCTGCAGTGGAGAAAAAGGGGTCTCTACTGCAAATGGAACAGAGGTGGCTGCTCAAAACGATGAAGCAGACTCTGAAACGGTGACCCGCTGGCGATGCACGAGAAGTCGATACTCTGCAGATCGTAACGGTGAGGGTAGACTCTGTTAAAAACAGCGATTCTGGACCTGTGACCTTCGAGCGCGCGAAGGAAAATTCTGCGGGACTCAGAGAGTCACAGGGGAATATGGATGTGGATAACGTTGACCCCTGATTATAAACCCCCCCCTCAAGGTCGTCAAGGTCGCAGGGCGGCTGCAGGATCCCGCCCCCCCAAATAATCCCGGCCCCAAAGTCGTCTTCTTCCTAGTACAGGTGCAGCCCCCCCCCACGTTTGACGGTGCTGTCTTGGTGCTGCCTTTCATTGTAGTCTTGCCCCCTTTTAACGTAGTCTTCGAAACGCTTTCTGAAATTTTGGGTCACCCGAAGGTGTTGCCTTTAATCGTGGGGGGTTTTTCTGCAAACGCGATCCTTATTTGGGTGCTGCCTTATGAATAGTGCAGAATCGCGCCGGAGCCGCCCCGCAGGCTGCCTTTAATCGTGGGGGGATTACTAATCCAGGGTCAACATTAAGACTGGAGCAGAGGCAGTTTCAGCTGGAGTGGTGGACTCAACAGCCGAGGAGGAAGCTGCGGATGCTTTGGTGGATGAGCAAGGTGATGAGGGACGACCCTGAAGCTGAAGATGAAAAGGAGGAGGATGAAGTTATTCCCAAACCACCTGATGAAGTCATTCCCAAACCAGCTGAAGGTGAAAAAAAGGACGAACAGCCCAATGAGGCGACCTCATCTCCGAATCCAAAAGTCTCTATGAGGAAGGGGATCTGGTAAAAGGTACTGTACATCGTATCGATGGCGATGGTATCTGGATCTATATGGGAGATATAGATGCGCTACTACCACCGAGGAGCCAGGTTTCTTTTTTGTCATTTTTTCTGATGTTTTTCTGCTTTTCTTGCAAAAATTGTGGTGTTCAGGCATGGGCTCCTGGTCCTGCCTGTCCTCTTCGTCTGCTTGGGATTCTTTTCTGTTTTTTTTTTGCTTTTTTGTTTGTGAATTTGCTTGGTATTCACCCGCCTACCCCAACGGAGGTGAGAAGGGTGGCGGGCGGGTGTAGGGTTTAGGGTTTAAAGTTTAGGGTTTCAGGGTTTAAGGTTTAGGGTTTCGGGTTGCGAACTCTACTCTTCGGAGACACATTTTCACTCTAGGCCCTTTTGTATCAAGCTAGGGGCTTCTCAACGTTGAGGACTTCGGGCTTGGGGCTCCAGCTCGGCTACCCAGTACCACCCTGTGCATACAAGCCTAAACCCTAACCCTAAACGGGTGGAGTTTTTTTGGGTCTTTCATTTTATTTCATTCTATTATTGTTTTTCTTGGGGGGGTATTCTTTCTTTGGTTGGTTGTCTTGGTTTTTCATAAGAAAAGCTACAACGCCTGTATAGTTTCATAGGATTCGTACAACTACTTTTCGTAGGATTTCCTATTATGTTTTTCTTGTTGGTTAGTTTTCTTGCCCTTTCCCAGGAAAAACCCATATATCCTATATATTTTCATAGGATTCGCTCTACTTTTCGTAGGATTTACCATTAATGCTTTTCTTTTTTGTTCGCTTTCTTGGTTTTCCTAGGAAAAGGGTGCATTTCCTATATCTTTTCATAGGATTCATACTACTTTTCGTAGGATTTCCTATTAATTCTATCTTGTTGGTTCGTTTTCCTGGTTATTTTCCTCGGAAAAGCTAAATTTCCTAGATATTGTCACAGGTTTCATACTACTTTTGGTAGGATTTCCTATTCATTCTTTCTTCTTGGTTCGTTTTCTTGGATTTTCCTGGGAGAAAGCTACATAGAGGGAATGTGCGGCTTATATAAAAGAAGCGGGGGGCGCACATGACGGGTTTCAACAAGATTCATAGGCTTTGAAGCACGCTTTGCGCGGCTTAAAAGAAGCGGGGGGCGCAGCCCCCACCCCCCCCACTTGCAAACACAATGCCCACATAATGGGATTCAACAAGATTCATAGGCTTTGAAGCACGCTTTGCGCGGCTTAAAAGAAGCGGGGGTGTTGGGGGGGGGGGGGG